TGTATGTTGAATTGTGAGCCGAGCATGGGGACACTCAGACACCATTTTGTAGCTCATTTCATGCAGTATTATACCTCGCAAAGTCTAGAAAGTGACTGAGAAGGAGCTTGGAGGCCTCAAAAACTGTGCCTTGTATGAAACGTTGTGCCTTCCTCACAAACCTTGCAAGAGTGAGCAGCTTGGGGTCCTTCATCCAGATGTTTTAGTTTGCAGCAGCCACAGGCTGCTGGCTAGGGCCACAGGGGGCTGTAGGCCAAAACATCTAGAGAACCACAAATTGACCATCTATGCAACTTCATCTTCTAATGAGTTTCACGCTGAGGCGAAGGCGTGCATAATCAGGTCTGTACAGGATTTAAAACGAAAGATCCAAAATTCAGAAGGCTTCCAAATTAAGAGGCCAGGCTTCCGGCAACCTTGAAAGCTGTTCACTATAGAAACATCTGCTCACACATTTCTCTCCAAAGTGAGCAGTCCCACCTGCGGAGTCCTATTCAGTTCTACTCCAACCACAGTGGATGGATGCCTCTCGCAAGCCAGATTCCTCCAAATGTGCACTGGAACTTACGGAAGCGTTCCGTGCCGGCAAGGCTGGGCTGGGGTAGGAGGAAGCAGACCCGTCACTACCAGCAGCCGGCACGGCCCGCGTGCGTTGGCCTCTGTTGGCGATCACTCATGATGCCCGAGGGTCGCCTCCAGTCGGGGGAGTTTAGAACCTCTTCCTGAAACAGCCTCCTTGAAGCCGAGCTTGGCGCGGAGACGCAGCTGCTCCCGGAGGCACTGGCCGCCTCTTCCAAAAAGGCGCTCCGCCTCGACATTTCCTTCAGGGTTTCCTAATCACCGCCCCGCAGCAGAGCGACTGGCAGCGCGTCCCCCGCTCAGCCCTCTTCCTCTTCGCGGCTCCCTGCCGAGGGCAGCGCAGGGGCGCTGCGTCGCTCTGTCCCGACGCAGCGCTCGAGCGGGAGGCGCTGCCTACGGCCTGCTCGGTCGCGCCTCCTTGCACGAGGGGCTCCGTCCCTGGGCCGAGGAAGGGCCGGCTAATGGCACCGGCGGGCGGGCGGGCGGGCGAGTGAGGTCACAGAAAGGAGCCCGTTCTTCTGGCGGCGTCGCCCCGCGTGTCCTGGAGACCGTGCTCGGCACGACTGCAGGAGGAGGCGGGAAGGGAGGAGCGGAGAGGATTGGGGGGGCCCCGCCGATTGTGACCCCGAGGAGCTTCCAGGGGCTCTGAGCCGCCTGCTGCAGTGGTCGGTGGCGAAGATGGCGCTCGCCGGGAGGGCCTGCCTGTTGCTGTTCCTCGCGCATTTGCCCAGCTGGGACAGCCAGACTAGGCCTCAGAGGGAACCTGACCCAGGTAGCGTGTTTCGGGCTAAGGTAGAGTAGGGCCTTCCCAAGAAGGAGACCATCCTTTAAGCTCCGCAGCTGCAACCGGGTGTGATTTATTCTGTATTTCTCTGAAGTGCTTTGCAGTTTTTGCTGTCCCACCCAGATTTGGGAAGCACGCGGTTGTTTGTCTCGTTTTATAGGTCGGGAACTGAGGTTCAGAGAGGTGGTTCCCCCCACCCCGTCCACCCCCAGGTTGAACAGCGAGGCCATGACAAGGACCCAGATCCAAGTACCTGGTCTTCTTGAATGGTCTGGCTCATCCTCAGCCTTAGAACCATGCAGGGCTTGCCAGATAAGAACCTCAAACATACAGGAAAGGCTGTAGTTGAAGGGGATATTCCACATAATATGCATTCAACAATGTGGTGGCAAAGAGCAGGGACAGCTGGTAACTCTGCAGGGCAGTCTGATGCCTTTATCATCGCTTTGGTGGTGGTGGTGGTGGTGGTAATAATGATAATAATGGGTTGTATCTTGTGCTGGCGCTCAGATGCACAAAAACTTCTGGTGGATTGAACTGACCCTCATTCCTGCAGCCATATTGGATGGAGCTTCAATCTGCTGCAGAGGTTGGGGGACCTCCTGGGCAGATTTGGGGTACTGGGAGTAAGAAGCTACAGGGGGGAGAAGCCAAAACAAAACCCCATGTTTAGATAAAACCGGGTTGTACAACTGGATAGTGACTACACACAGCAATGAAAAATACCAGCTTTGCACAAGTGCACTTCCATTATTATTATGCATTCATTTAATAATATAAGTGCACTTGTGCAATACTAGATTTAAAGCAACATTGTTCATTGCTCTGTGTAATCACTGTCCAGAAGTAGCACTCACAACTCAATTATTGATGATCTTCACAGCTGCTTTATATTAAATGGCATTGCAGGCCAAGGCCTTGCTTGCTTACTGAGGTTAATGGCATCTCATCAGCTAGCTTCTCTGGGATTTTAGTCCCCAGGTTATTGCAGTATTGTTCATTTTGCATAAACCTACAAAAATTTGTGGCTTGCCAAGTAGAAAGCAGCACAATAACCATATGCACTTCCCGCTCAGTAGTTTGCTTTGTGTAGTGGGCTGCAAAACAGGGTGGAACATAGTCAGACACCCAGTAAATCAAAATACATTGCTGTGGGGCTGTGTTTGGCAGATTTTATAAGAGATATTGTAAGGGCAGCTTCCTAAGGTTCAAAGACTTGCAGGTGTACACCACATCTTTAGGTGGTGGGAGACTTGCCCTTGGTAGGCTCACCATGGGCCAGATGACATCTGGAGAGGCATGGTGTCCTGTGATGCTCCTAACAGAGAATAAGACTATGCTGTTGTCAAGAGGAGCAGCCATTCCTCCCGTATTGGCTGGATCCTTAGCTTTGCTATGCAAAACTGCCGTTGGGAAAAGTAGGACCTTTTCTTGTCACCACCAGTGTTCTCACTGTATCTTCACTGTTACTTCCAATCTCATTTTGGAAACAACAAATGGGTCTTGGATCTTCTCAGGGCTATGGGTCTTGGACTAGATTTGGCCTATGGATGGGGGTTCTGCCTAGGCAGGATTATGTAGCCTTGCAGGCTAGGGATTCTTAGCACCTATGATAAAAAAAGTCAGAATACGTCCTTGAACTGTTATGATTTACTCTTTTGAAGGCATTTCCCCCTTGCATCTTATGGAGGTTCTCCATGTGTTAATTGTGGTGACTGCATGATTAACTTGGTGAATCAGTTATTGTTGGGGAGTTCCACCATCATTTTTTTCTCAACAAGTAGTTAGCATCACTCCAAGGACTGTCTGATGCAGCTGTTGAGTAGGATTTTCCCTTTAATATTGTTTTATAATATTACAAGATTTTGCCGGTTACTGCAGTACAAAGAAGGAAAACATTAACCTTTTTTCAATATTTCTGTACTAAATAGGTTTCTCATTTGCTGTCATGGTGAAATTTTCCATATATATATAAGATGTACTTTAATCTTTCCTAAGGGTATGAGTACTTCTCTTCCAAATAGTAGTCAGAGACCTGCCCAAGGTCCAGATTGTAGATTGTGCTGTGATCAGATGCCGTGTTCTCTGTAATAAATCCAGACTGTGTAACAGTCTATGCTGTAATAATTATGGAAAAGCAGAATACCTCCTGATACTATTCAGGCACATACATACTGAGCTGGGACTGGGAAGCCTAAATAATATGTATTTCTAATCCTAGCAGCTTCCAGCATCATCTTAGTCTATTTTATTTTGAGAACAATGGCTTTAGCCTTAATCCTCACCACCAGTGCAATCTAAACAACCAACATATTTATGTTTAATAGTACTTTAAATCCAAAGGGCATCACTTTCACACTTCTATGAAAAATGTACATTTTTATTTCTTTGGGAGTTTTTTTAACCTGAAATTGTTTTACTTGGAGGCAGCCATCTTTTTTTTTAAATCTAGATCACCAATTTTAATCTGTTATGCACTCATTCCAGAAAATGAATGGGAAAGGTTATATTCTGGCATTTATAGGCAACATATAAAGGCTGCAGATACTAGAAATTATAGTACTGCAGTAGCAGCATATAATAATGATAGGGTCTGCAAATAAATAATGGCAGTTGGAAAAGTAATAAGCTAGCTGGCATTTGACAGTTTTGTTGAAAAACTACATAGTTGTTGTAAAAATATAAATATTTTACTGCATAGGCTTACTTGCTTCCTTCCACAGGGTTTTCATCATAACTATGGGACTGACACTGAATGCAAAAAGAGTATTTTTAACCAAGTGTTCATATGATGCAGCTGTACTCATTCTTAATCACTCATTAATGTCTCGTCAAAAGAGTACTGTACTTTTTGTTTGTTTCATTTACCAAAGGTCAGCATACTTGGAAGCAATTGTCATGCACCATTACAGACCTTTTTACATATTTTTCTTGTATTGTTCCAAGCTATCATGTGCGCAAATGAGTCAATTGGTATGCAGATTGTCTGTCATTAAGACCATTTGAAAATCAGCTTTGTCATTGGTTTAGTGTTGGAACTTTGGATTCATGCATATACTTCTTGAATATGTTGTGGCATTCAGAATGGGCCTGATGATGGATGGATGGTCATGCCAGAATGAACAGTTCTGTAGACCTCAGTCAAAGTAACTGAACAGTGATGTATTTCTCTTCTACCCCCAAATAGAGTTTAGAACTGGAAAAGATATTTGTCATTATAAGAAAGTTATAAGTGGTCCTACAGATGCATTATTTGTATTTGGTGCACAAGCTTATTTCTTTTGTCCCACTTCTATCTCTGGTTTTTGAGTCTGCTGCAACCTAAAAAAATTGCCCTATCCGAAATGCTAGTGGGAGTAACCTATACATCAGAGGCAAAAAGTGTAATGTAGGAATTCCAGACTTATGATGTGAAGCAGTAGAAAATAAGAATTGGTTCCAAAGCTCTTTAATGTGAGATATGCTAATTTACTGCTTTCTTTCCAATTGAAAGATTTGGGTAGCTCTGGCTCTTTTTCCTGTGTGGTATGATTGCTTTATCATAGTGACAACTCAAGCCATATTTATCAGTGTTACACTGTAATGTTTTCTGCAAAGCTACATGTTCTTTTAGATTCCAATGAAATAAAGAACAATCTCACCAGTGTAAATCAGTTCATTTATTTTAAGGATAGTAGTACAGCCAGATTTGATTATTGCACAAATGATGGAAAAACAATACATGCAAAGCAGACACAGACTGCTCCTTTATAAAGCACCTCAGACAGGCAAATTGACCATTCCCTCAACCTAGTAGATGGAAGATCAAGTCTTGTTAGTGGCAGGAGATAAGCTATACACGATTGTGGCTGTTCGTTATGCTATAAGAAACTCACAGTTGGACTTTGCTTTTCAGTGGTATTTTGTCTTATAAGCTCTCCATTTCCCTAGCTGTCCTTCCTAATCTAGTTACACTCCAAACTGGATTTTTATGGAAAAAAACTCCATTTTCATCCATCAAGGATTGCTAGAAACCTCTTTGTGACAGATGTCCCAATGGTTAAACAAAAGCTTGCAGTTCTAGAAGTCTTCCTATATGACTTCTTGACTGGCATCTCCTGTTTCATCTTACTGCCCAGATTAATAGCTTTTATGCATTAACCAAGGGGGCAGTTCTATGCATGTTTAGACAGACAAAACTTCTAAAACTCACTGGTCCCCAGGAACTACACCCTATATCAATTAAAGTAGTACATATTTGCAATTAAAAGAGAGCCCTACTTGCTTTATTTTACTTGTTTTGGTATTCATATACAGGAATAGACCCCCATGAGAATGGCACTCAGTCCTTTCAGGTGAATTTTACCACAAATTAGTAAGTCATCTTATTACCTTACTTTAGCCTGGCATGTAGGTGCAGAACATTTTCATCTCTTGGTCTCTCTGAGTTATCTTTGGTTTCAGTCTGCTATCACTTCCTGAGACTTTGAGGACTCACTTTAATTTGGACTTAAGGTAATGCTATGCCTTGGCTAAATTCAGTTTTGGGCACTTTGTGGTAGCATGGTAAAAGTGGCTTGAGTTCAGATTAGATGTGTGTTGGAACAAGCATCTTAAGCTGGATAGTGCAAAAAAATTGCGGAATTCACTTTCATCCTACATCAGTTTGGTCAGAAAAATTGGTTCCACCTTCCATTGGCTTTGGAAGGATTGTATCTTAATACATCATCCCTAATCTTTTCAAAGATGTTTCAGTATAGCTGATGAAGATGGACAGTTTTAAAGGTGGTTCAGACATGTGGCCTTAATAACTGGTTTTATTGTAAAACTGTTTATTTTTTTGCAGATGTGCACACTTCAGTAATTTCAAAAACGAATCTTAAAGAAATTATTAAATTACTTGGTAAGTATCAATTCTTTGGCATAGATGGCAATCCCATTACTCTAACATACATTATTGACCTTACTTGTCAGTGCACAAAAATGAGCCAGTGTGGCATAGCGGTTAAGAGCCCAGACTGGGACTCAGGCAACGTGGGTTCTAGTCCCCCCTTAACCAGGAAGCCCACTGGGTGACTTTGGGTCAGTCACAAACTCTTTGCCCAACCTACCTCACAGAGTTGTAGTTGTTGGGTTAAGATTGAGAGCCAGAAGAGGAGAATGATGTAAGCTGCATTGAGTTCTTTGTAAGAAAAAAGTGGGATATAAATCTAATAAATTGATAAATGCACAGAAGGTTGGACTTTGTGAATAAGCGGGAGCATATCGCTAGAGAAGAGCTGAAATATATGACTGAGAAATTGACTCAAAATGCTCTGATAATCATTTTATAATATTTGGGTTTTCATTATGTGCATTTACTCAAAAGTACGTATTGGTTTGGATTTGGATAATGGGTAGTATTTTTTCATGATATGTCTTAATCTACATGAGCAAGCTACTTCTTATCCATGTGGCAGCCGTCTACACCCAGCTGCAGCATCTGATGAAGCTTTCCTCATGGATTCTCCCAACTTCCCATTTTGTTTATAGATGAAAATTGGGTGAGAGATTCCCATGCCATTTGACAGCAGTGTCAGCCTCTTGCAGCAAAACTCTTCAAGTTACTGTAGTGATGCCTGTTACACACTGTATATAGTTAAGCACAAAAAGTGTGACTGCAATCCATCATATGAATGTTGTAACTCTTAGATCAGACTTTTCCAACTTGGTACTTCCAGATTTTTTTGGACTACAACTCCCATGAACTGTAGCCAGCATGAACAATGGTTACAGATTATGGGAGTTGTAGTCTAAAATGCCAAGAGGTTTCCTGGCAGGTTGGCCTAGACTAACTTATACTTCAACTGCAATCCTTAGCATATTTACCCTGAAGTGAGTCCCACTGAACTCAACAGAATTTAAATCAGTATGCCTGGGTCATTGGCTGTGGCCATTAAAGGTCTTGTGACCATGGCAAGAACCATGTCATGCATATGCAATGCACAGTATCCTATATGCTGGTATTAAACATGATTAAAACATGTAAATAATAAAACTATGCTGAGGCATGTGGTGACGGCATATAAAAGTTAAATAAATAAAAAATACCCAAAGTATTATTTTTTGGTATAAAGGTGTGGCATAAATCAAATACGTAAATACAGCTTTAGATTTTAATTGTTTCTGCTACCCTGCTCTAGATCATTGCAAAAGCATTTCATAGGAAAACCTCCCTAGTATAATATGTATTTGCTCTTATACCTGTTCCTTACATAGCATGTCAATTGTCTTTAGTATTTGTATAGCATACTTCTGAGTGTTCAGGGTGCTTCATGTAATTATCCCAAATATTTCTTGTAAGATAGGGTTGTATTACGATCTTGTCACTGCAGATTGAAGGGGAGGAAGGCTCAAAGGTGGTTTGCCTAAACCACTGTGTGAGATGGCCAATGAGAGTTTTGATCTGGAGATTTTCTTGCTTACAGCCACAGTATTATACCAGAATCCAACCATTTTAAAGATTGTTTCATTTTGGACATGATCTCATATTCATACAGGTTATTTTATTTGCAGATCACCAAATCCAAGTTCTGCACCAAAAGAATTTGATGCATGAACATGAAAATTCAGAGAAAGAAGGCAGACCATTAACTGTACACATGAATATGGTAAAAGGCAGGTAGTCCCTGTTCTTGGATTTTGTTTACTAACATTCCTGTGCAGAAGGCCTGCATTTATTTTTGGTAACACTCCCCTACTGTTTTCACCATCATATATGTTATTCTAAAACACATGTGCTTGGAAATTCTTCCTTTTCATTTGGGGGTACTTGCTTCCAAGGAAATTTGCTTAAAGTCACAATGTGAAGTAGTGTCATGTGAATTGTATGTGTAGTCTGCATGACTAGTTTGTAGAGCAGAATATCCTGGTAGAATTTTAATGTATACAACTATATTGTTTCAGGATCCTCTGTAAAAGGCAAGGCAACGCCTAGTAGCCCAACAACACAAGAAATCCCTTTTCCCAATAACTATTCAGTGCTGATGGGTAACAAGTTGTACAAGATTTTCCCATATAGCCTTCTGAACACTCCAAAGGGACAGGGTGCAGGAACCGAAGAGGATAAAAAAGAAAGGCCTTTGCTTCCTGGCTTGATACAGGACAAAAATGCTGGTAATAATGGTGGCAGAGCAATAAGAACAACTAATATTACTGTAAGATTTCATTCTGCTGACAATTCAAGCAAAACTCAGATTGACATTTACAATTTAAAAGATTCAAGAGAGGTTCCCGAAGTTCATGTGGTCGCCAGCAACATTTTTAACCAAGACATAAAAACCGATTCAGTAATACTAAAAGACAATGGTTTGCAAGTGATAGTAAATAGTTCAGTGGATAAGCAAGTGAAGTATATCACTGAAAATGAGAGAAGAAAAGCTCTGATAAAACTTGATCATGGAATTACGGAAAAGAGCACTATCGAGGGCAATAACAGAAATCTTCCTCCAGCAGGTAAAGACAATACTTTTAATGTCAGTGAAATTTGGGGTTCATTTTGAAACATTTACACTAATGCTTTATCTTTATATTTGCTGAAGCATTTGGAAAAAGATTATGGACCCTTAATGTGATTGTGATTGAATGCAATTGACACATTTTGCTGTGTTTATGCCATTTTTAATTTAAACATAATGTGTTTCAGGGTGTATGTCATGCTTTTTACAAATGTGGGAATTGAGATAACTTATGTTGTTGTTCATCATATGTCTAGATTGGGATTTTTTTGCTCACCAGGGCCTAAAGGCAATGTACAGTTTAAAAAACCCTTTAATTAAATTACCAAATTGCAACAGGAAAATAAAAGCAGAAAGGAAACTGTTTAAAATTAAACACCCATGAGAGGCCCAGCAAAACAGTGCAGTTTTATTACCTGTTTGAAACTCAGTAAAGATGGAACTAATCTCAACCACCATAGCAGGGATGTCTTACCCTTAGGCTGCTACAGTAGGACATACCTCATGTACCCACTAATGTGGTCTCGCTGGTGAAATATAGAAAAGGGTCTCTGAAGACTGCAAATGATTCACAGGCTTATCACAGTGGTGCAAAGGTAAATATTGAAGAAGCGTCCATCATGACCGCCCCCATAGCCACTCTGTCCAATACTCCAAACATGCAGTTGCTCTTTTTCTTTGTATATCTCCTACTCAAAACCTCCAGCTTGCTATGTGCACAAAATGTAGCTAAGTTTGGGAGAACAGGAAAGGTGGGAGGTGGGTGGGATTTGCAGGAAAGCAGCCAGTGCAAGCAGCTGCCCACTCTGCCTTATTCTGAGAGCTGATAATTCAGAGATCATGCCATGCAAAGCAGAAATAAAACCTAAAAGGAAAAATAAAACAAAGGATAAATATCCATAGCCAAGTCAGGCTAGTGCTATTTCCAGTACTCATTCCATTGTGTCTGCAGAGCTAGAGCCATAGGTTGCAATATGAAAATACCAACTGTTTGTACAGGACATCATCCCAACAGTGATTCCTTCATGCATTTCTCCCAGGAGCTTGATTCAGATGCGGGGAAATGAGATCCGACGCAGAAATGATTGAGGAGAATTCATCTGCTAGATTCTCCTTTACTTCCCGAATGAAGCAATGGTTTCTCTGGCTATTAACCCTTTAGAAACAGGGGAAAAAACCTGTTACCCATAGAGCTTGCAATATCCCCAGAACCCATGGCCTCTATCAGAGAAGTAATGTTTCCTAACTCGAAAAGATAAAAGAAGGGTAGGAAGCACTTATCAGGGCAAGAAGGGTGCTAATATTGCTCAAAAACAGTACACACTTCCACATGATATTAAGGGAGAAGGTAACACACTTCTGATTCTTCGGTGGCCATAATGCCCAAAGACAGGGATGCCCCCCTCAGAGACCAGGGAAAGAGAAAGTCTGATGCTGCATTAACAAAATCCCTTGAAGCATTGGCATTAGCACTAAAGCTCTCAGCTGTGTCCTCCTACTTTGCCAGAGTATCTATTATGTGGGTGGAAGACAAACAGTAAAGAGCTAAAACAGACTATATATATATATATATACACACACACACACACACACACACACACACACACACACACACGAGCCTAGTAAAGCTCTTTAAGCCTTTGCTTTTTTATCTGATGCTACCTACACAAGAAGCCATTCAGTTTATTGACTTATTGGTGGCAGCTACTACAGTAGCTCAGATACTCCATCTGGGTCAAGCAGTTGGAATTTAGATGCTGATTCTAGAACAAACGTAATCTCTGTTCCTTTTACAGGAACACATCTGTTTAGAATAAAAGCCCTAAAACAAATCATTTAACAAATCAAAGGGGAAAAACAGGTCATGCCTTCCTCATCTAGAAAACAAGGTAAAATTTTCCTTTTGCCCTTCAGAAATCTTAAGCAATCATCCTTTCCATTCAAAAGCTACAGAATTCCCCAACCATCTCAGTCCAGATTGTGCTTCCAGCCCTAGAATGTTACCTCCTCCAGCTACGTATTATTTCCAGTCTTCCAAACAGGACAAAACAGTTCTGATGGCAGGTGCCTATCCACAGGAAGAAAACTTTAGCTCTTCCTCACAGCATGATGACAATGCAGACTGAATCCTTGGATCCTGGACACCATGGACAATAGCTACAACATAGAATTTTGGAAGGAACCTGCTCCCATGCTCTCTTCTTCATCCACATCTTGAGTGTATCATAACCAAAATCATTCAACATCTATTATAAATATGAGCAGTAGAGTAGTATCACCACCACAAAAATGTGAAGGCATCTATTCCATCATCTTTATTCTTCCCAGACAAGACTGAGGATGGAGATCTGTACTGGGCTTCAGAAATCTAAAAAAGTCATGCACAGATGATTGCCTGTGGAAATGCTGCAAACCATCAGAGTATCCCTTCACAAAGGAGAGTTCATGATGTCAGTTTGATGGAAGCCTATTTCTGGTACTAGTAAGATAATAGTGCTATCTTAATAGTACCAGAGCACATACAGTTTCTTCATTTTACATATCAAAACCACCATTTCCAGTACATTTAGCCTAAGCACAGTTCCCAAGATTTTCACCCAGCTAGTCATCTTTAGAATCATAGTAAAGGGGCCATAAATGCCTTTGGGTCCAATCCCTGCTGCTACAGGACACCAATTTACACCATCCTGTTCAGATGGCTATCCAGTTGCTTTTTGAATGTCTCTAGTGTGGGACAGCACATTTCCCATAACTAGATAACTTACTTATCAGGTTCCCCTTTAGTCACAAAGTTTACCTGAACCTGACCATTGACTTCCATATTACAAGTTGTAATAAAAAAACAGCCTCCATGTGACTCCCATCCAATCTCTTAAACACCTAGGAGCATTAATTGACTTAGGTACTTAATTAGCTACTTATTCCATGTTTTGGAAGACACTTCCTTTGATAAGAAGAACCTGTACCATAGTAGATTGATTTGCTCTAATTTACACTCCCACCCTAATTTGGCATTAGTTTGAGGATATCCTTTTATGGGATGCTTCCTGACATCAACCTGGAGAACAGAACATATGTACTGAGTAAGTATGAGTTGGTCTGTGGAAGGCATCCCAATCATACCCTACATTTTTTCTAAAAAATTGAGGGTTCCAGCCTGTTGCCATGGTCATCTGCTTCTGTATCTACTGGCCAAACCTTCAACAATGGGACACTAATAATGGTGCCGTAGTATTTTCTGTTCCTCTGGGCCATCTAACATTTTCTTCAACCATGAGACTGACCTGGTTTTTCTTCTGAGTTATAGCCATGGACAGAACTGGCAAGGAAGAGCCCAAGATCAACAGAATAATCAAAACTTTAGTCACATGGCCCCTGCTTTTCCAGGGTGATATGCTCTGTGCATTAGTGCATCAAAGAGCTTTGGTTCAGAACACATTGTCTCATGATTTACCTTACGTTGAAACTCTTTCACACTGAACATATGTCAGAAAAACTGTTTCTAGCACTAGATTATCAAGATTGTTAAACTGAGCTTCAGCTGTGATTAGGTAAACTGATCCAAATAACCTCTTTGCACCTGAGTTCCAATCTTCCTGTTAAGAATTTTTCCTCCACAGTTTCCAGACATGTAGTTTCAATCATAATAAGCCTTCGTTACTCAAGGAATTTTGGTAACTACACTATTACTGTATCTCAAGAGTAGATAAGGTCTTCTGTGCTAACATTTCAAAAGTGGAACATTTTAGAAGTAGATTTTTTTCAGCAGAAAGGCACAATGGCTTGATTTAAAGGTCAGATTTGACAGCCCTATAGGTCCTCCTGTGAAGAATGCACTTTATAATTTGCATTATTTTTTCCTATCAGGAAGGAATATGGCAAATTTAGCAGGTTCTTTTTATAATGATTAAATAATAAAAAATAGAGTCTGTAACTATATCCAGTAGATTTGAAACTTTCAGAACTGATCTGGTTTGCTTGATCACTGTGGCTTTAAAAAGCTACAGTGCCTTTGTTTAAGCCACAGTGTATGCAAGACACCATTTGCCTAGTTACCCATCTTGGTTCAGCTAGTCATGGCATCTGACTTGGGCAGCATGGCTTGTTGGAGGAGGAAGCACCCCTCAAATACTAACACTCCATGATTTGAGGCTTATTTTCCCTTCCAACAAGCCATGGCAATTTGGGGCCAAGCAAGCAACTAGACAAGTAATGCTTGGCATGTTCCATAACTTAAACAAGGGATCATGGCAAACTAAACAGCTTGAAGGAATGTCTTCTTCCCTATATGCCCTCCTGCCCCTTAAGATCAGAGGCAGAGGCTCTCCTCTGGGAACCCTCCTTGAAGGAGGTTAGGAGAGCGAACACCCAGAGGAGGGCCTTTTCCGCAGTGGCACCCCATCTGTGGAACACGTTTCCCAGAGAGGTTTGCCTGGCGCCGAAGCTATATTCTTTTCAGCTCCAGATAATAACTTTTTTATTTACCCAATATTTTAATATTTAAAATTTTAACTACTTTTATTATCATGCTTAGCCACACTCTATCTTATTTATTGCATACTACCTTATTTTATTGCATTCTACCTTACTGCATTATGTGGGTTGTACTTTTTCTGTTTGTTTATTGTTTGTTTGATTATATTGTAAGCCATCCTGAGATGCTCTTAAGGACGGGGTAGAAATGCTGTAATAAATAACATTCCATTCCATATCTAAGCAGATTCCAGAGCAGTGAACAGTAACATAAAACAAAAGAATAAAAACAATATTAAAAACAGGTAACATGAAAACCATGGCTAATCAACAAGAAAGGCTTCCTGGATCAAAGACAACTGCAGCAAGTGCTGAAAACAACACCGTGTTGCTGCCTGCCTGAGCTCCAGAAGCAAAGAATTCCATAGAAATGAGGCTACCACACTTGAGGCTATTCTCTTGGGGTTTCCAGCTGGGTTAGTGTGGAAACACCAAGGAGAATGTCATCTGATGATCTCAATGATCAAGCAGGTTGATAAAGGAGAAAGCTCTCTCAAATAACTCCTAAACAAGAATGTTGGGAGATAATTCTTGCCCATTCTCTTGCTTTACAGATTCTGCTTGCTTTCACTTTTCAGAGAAGCAGTTGATAGAAGTTGTATTTAAAGTGGAAAAGCTGTTTTGATCTTGGTATTCCCCAGATTAGGCAACATGGTACCTGCAGTCAGCAGCATATTTGGACACCTTTATTGGGAGATTGTCTGCGGACAAACGCTGGCTCCCTCGGCTAGGAAACGGAGATGAGCACCGCCCCCTAGAGTCAGGCATGACTGGACTTAATGTCAAGGGGAAACCTTTACTATTGGCAGTCATCATTCTACCATGCACACTTCCTGTTTAAAACATACATACACACACACACTTTCTTGCCAGCAGTTAGGATTGCTGTGAAATAGGTTTCTCTTAGAGAAATTATGGATTCAGAAGAGGGATTTAGTGTGGGGGGGTTCAGCTTTGTCTTACATCCAATATATTGGGCAATTGACTTATCCTTTGCCATGTTTCCCATGACTGCCATTTGTGGTGACATCCTGGACAGTTTCTCAAATGGCCAAAGGTTAGCTTATACTTGTCAGGATCTCAGCAGCTCCAGAGATCCATCTGGAAAAGCCACCATAGTAATTAAGGATTGGACCCACGCCCTCCCTGCTGGAGCTCTCAGCTTCTTGGTGAGTGCCAGCTGGGAGACCTGGGGGAAGAGCTATATAAGGACCAGCTGTTCCATCCAGAGGTTGCCTCAGCAGTGCAGTTTTCTGGCTATGGATCAGTGCCTGCATCTTGGCTGACCCTTGCTGTATCATGCCTTGCTGCTGCTTTGCCGTCTCACCTCAG